ATTTTAAATTGGGTTTCTTAGAAATTTTAATACCACAACACTAAAATATTGGTTTTAATTTGGTTTTATTCGGTGGGGTTTGTGGGTTTGTTTTTGTTTTATAAAATGTTGTGAGCCGCCCTGAGTCCTTCGGGAGAAGGGCGGGATACAAATTGAAATAAATAAATAAATAAATAAATAAATAAATAAATAAATAAATAAATAAAAACTGTTGCCAAATGCAAATCATGTGACTGCAGGATGCTGCAGACAGCCATGAATGTGTTTGTGTTGCCAAATTTCTAAAGAGCAGTCACATGACTCTGACTGTCAGAACTTCAGATATGAGTCATAAGTCCCCTTTTTTAGATAGGTTATAACTTTGACTGGTTGCTAAATGACCCATCATAAGTCAAGGACTAATTGCAAAAAGATTTTCTTCCCTATTTTTCATACAGATTTTTTTATATATACTATGAAATTGGCCCATACTAATTCCTAGGGGGTTTTTTACAAAATAATTAGATCATAAATGTAAGAATATCTTTAAAAAAAAAAGATTGTTACCAATCGCACCCGAGGAATTTCTTGTACAATATTTTATTTTACTTGCTTATGATCAGTACAATATTTTATTTTCTTGCTTATGATTCTGCTCACTCTTAATTGTGACAAGTGTAAATGCTGAACAAAATGTGGAAAACTAAATCTCACAAGGAAGCCATCTTGTGTTTGTGACAGAATCCCAGTGCAATAATCATCCATAAAAACTTCCATTATAATTTATCCATAATTTATTCTCTCTTGAAATAGAGTAGATTCACAGATGGTACTAAACTGCAGGTAGCCCATGACTTCTGACTGCTTGCTTAGTGACTGAAGTTAAGATGGACCTACTTGCGGGTAGTTACAATGGTTGTCCTCCCTCCCTGGTCACGTGATCACACCGGTGCTCGGCAGCCAGGCTATATTGTAGCTGTTTATAGAGTCCCACAGTGACATGACTGCCTTTTATGATGGTTTGGCATTTATTATTGTTTTTTGACAAAAATGGCCCATAGCAAACCATGGATTTGTTTAACGAACATGGTTTTCACTTAACAACCATCACAAAAAAGGTTATAAAAACAGATAAGCCACATGGGTAATCCTATTTACAGCCATCACAAATTACGACCATGATGGGCAGGCTCCAATACGGTCGTAACTCGAGGACTACCTACATAATGGTTACATCAACGTATTTTGTGATTGAAAGCTGTTTCACAAGACATGGGAACCATGTAAAAACCAGAGCTGCTTTAATGCTTCAAAAAGAGGCTGCTCCTGTGTGATTCCATGTATTGTAAGTGTGACTCCAGTCACTATTGGGTGTTCAACAAGCCATGGTAAATCATAGCTTATGATATAATAATATATCACAAACTTAGATATAAACTTAGGCATAAAAAACTTTGATGTGCATGTTCTGGTACAAGGTATCTGGCAGGTATGGATTTTTCTACTGCTTTGCCACCTTATTTAGGAAACTGACAAATTAGAAGTAATTTAACAATTTTTTTTTTCCCTCAGGGTTATCAGACGCCTAACAAACCTTGGTGGAAAATACATCTTTTTGTTTGGGAACCAGTGCTTTTTGGAACATGGGATGGAGTCTTTACTTCCTGTATGATTAACATCTTTGGAGTAGTTCTCTTTCTGAGGACAGGTTGGCTGGTTGTAAGTATATAGAGGTTATTGCGCCGTCTGGTTTCATTTCAGCTGATCTTTTAAAAACAATGTGTGTGCTTGTCCTTGACTTGCAACCATTCATTTAGTGACCATTCGAAGTTACAACACGCTGAGAACAGTCCCTTGCACTTATAATTGTTGTAGCAACTCCATAATTTTATGATTAAAATTCAGGTGCTTGGCATTTATGCTGGTTGCAGCATCCCAGAGTTACATGATCATCATTTGCAGCCTTTCCAACTGATTTCTCATAAGTGAAGTCAGTAGGAATAGCCAACTTTGCTTAACCGCCACATCATTCACTGAACAACTTGCAGTGATTCACTTTCAAAACATGGCAAAAAATAGGTCATAACGCTGTGTGCCATCTTGCTGAGCAGTGGGAATTCTGAACACAATTGGTGGTCGTAAAGGTGAGGACTACTTGTATAAAAATTGCCTCTCTCTCTAAAAAAAAAAGAGCAAATTCCAGTAACAAGAGGCATCTTTTCAAGTAAAGGGTTTTTCTCAGACTTTTTTTTTAAAAAAGTATTGAATGCATGTTCCTCTGCAGAACTATTACCAGCTGCTCCAGCTGCAGTTATTGTGAGCTTTTTTAAATAGCTTGTTAACCAATGCATAATGAAGAAGAGAGATCTATCATTAGAACACTGGCAAACAGCTCATCCTACAACTAAATTAAGAATGCAATAGGGGAAGGCTTTTAAAGCAATGAGCTGTATGATTAACATTTTTCTTATCCCTTTTGCCTGTAGAATCAGATAATTGTAGATCAGTGTGCTGTGAGCATCAAGGTTTTACCCTGGAGGCAAATAGGATTGTTTCCTCCCCCCCCCATCCAAGAATCCCAGAAATAATTTGTGCTCTAAGTGGCTTTTATTTTACTTATTTAATCTTTGGTTGGACTATGCTGTGATATACTGTGAATGTCAAGGATTTAGGTTGGAGTAACAGGAGGAACAATCCAGGTTGTCAACAAGATGCATGGAACATATATCCTTTTAATATAACTCCCTACATAATGAATTGGGCTTATTGTGTTAAAGCCAAAGGGTGGTTTGTGCGGATTTAGCTACAGCAGCGTTTTGTGCCTTGAAAGTGGCAAATTCTATTGCCCCAGAACACCCAGCCCTGATATTACCAAATGTTGAATTCATTTGGTAGTAACAACCTGCTAAATTCTCAATATTTAGTAGCAACAAGATTAATACTTCACCAGAATATATCTCTACCACTGTTACAGCTAATAGTTGTAGGAAACAAAGAACTTTTGCCTGGTGTGTCCAAAAGAATTCTTACTGTTACCCACGCCTAGTAATGATGCTAATGGTTTCCAGTAAACATTGTATTTTCAATAACCCAGTTTGTCTCACTCATCATCATATAAAATCATCAGACTTTGCTACAACATCCATCCCTAGCTTTCTTTTAGTTTTTACCAGGTTTTCTAAAAAATTAATCTTGCTGAAATTATTCAAAACTAGTTCAGAATAAGCTGCATAATATTGCAGCTCCAGTATCCACTTCCAAAAGATAGATAAAACTGAAATGTCCATTTTTCTCAACATTCAAACACTCACAAATTAAAATACGATGAGTTCTTATAGCTGTGTTAATATTTTGTTTTCTTCTGTATTTTTCTATGAATGTAAAAATAGCAATAAAATATCTTGGATTAGTTGTAATGAAGCTGATTAAAATGACAGTTCAGGTGAAACATGTTGCCACAGTGACATTCTTCCAGATATTTAAAAAAATTGATATCTTCTCAGGTAACGGCTATAAAACAGTAATCCTACTCATATTTTTTTTTAAAAAAATCATTTTCTTTTGCAACATTTTTTCTGATTTTATTAAATATTTTGCCAGAATTATTGATATGCATGGCTCAAATTAAAAGTTGAAACATATGAGTTTGATAGGTAGGCTGTCCTGTTGAAATTGACGGATACAATGCAACCCAGGATAAACTAGGGTTTGTATTAGTAAAGCACTGTTGTTGATGGTGGTACTTGCATTTCCAAAATACTACAAATAATTGCCTGCTGTGAAAATAAATTTTAAAAAATAAATAAACTCATATAAGACTCCTATTTCCAAGAACATGCGAGTTTCTACATTGGACTCACAAGATCCAAAAAGATCACAAATTTTTCACTGCAAGTTGCAGAAGCTGAGCTGGCTCATCCTTACTTGAAATATTTCCATCCTGGATGGTCTTACTGTTTTTCTCTATTCTATGGCTTCCTGTGTTTTCTAAATCCAACTAATTGTGGTTTATTCCATGAACCATAGTTAAGCAACCATTGATTAGCAAATGCATGGGCCCAATTATATTCTTTCTTTCATTGTTATAAAAGTCATTTTTCTGATTTTCTGACAAGCCTCCATTCAAAGTTATTACTTCTGTTGCTGGATCCCATCTTATTCTTTTCTGTATCTTTTTTGCTAACCAATATCTACCCAGAATGCAGCTGCATTCACGAAATTCTGTTTCAATTTCTTACCCTGCTGTGTTAGAGATGACAGCTGCAGAAGATCAAGGAGAACTGGAGCCAGGACTCAGCATGTTCACATCTGCTGGCATATAGTCCTTTTATACTCCCTCCCTAAAGGGCTATTTTTGAAAAGCAAAGCATTGTTGTAGCTTGCCTTATTTATTTATTTATTTATTTATTTATTTATTTTAGAAAGCACTAGGTTATGTATACTAGATATATATTTCAAATAGGCAACTTAAATATGTTGATGATATAAGTATAGTCTTATATACTCTGCACAAAGCAACAATTAGCCAAAAGGCTTAAAATCACTTCCCCTTCTGGAGAGCAGTTACAGGAAGGAACACCACGCCTGCTGGATAAAAGCAACACAGAGAATGCTTTGAAGAAGAGCTGAAGGAAGCAAAATGCTCGGATTTGTTCACAATAGGGATCTCTAAAGCTCAGAGGAAAAGTTTGAGATCACTTTTTTTTTTATTTACATCCACATGCTGGCAATACTTGGAAGTCCCTCTGAGGATACAAATGTGGAAATAGAAGAACACAGGAACTTGTTCCTTTCCTTATCTAACCCTCCAAAGATCACAACGTAAAAATCTTATCTGCGCTGTGCCTAATTTTAGAAGTTGATGTCTGTGAAAGATGCAGAGCGGGTCTTGCCGTATCTGATTATTTCTGAAAAACTAAGCGTATCCCATATTGCTGTTTTGGTCATGAGAATGATTTTCAGAAGAATTAAATGTTGCATGTTAAAAAAAAATAATTTCTTTCCTTTGCTTAGGAAAGGTAATCTTTCTGGATAGTTGCAGCAGATGACATATTTCTCAATTAGTCTTCAAAGAATTCCCTACCACTTTGAACATCCCAATTCATTACCAAAATACAATTCAGTACAAGTAGAAGTGCCATGGGATCAGTGCACAAGCTAATCTTAGGTATTAATTCATTAATAACAAACAGTAGTCTTTCTGTTTGAAGTAACTTCAGTGAATTCACTTATGGATTATATATCAGCCATCTTCACCCAGTGGTTTGCTCCTAGTGTGGTTATTAATTTAAACATCGTATTCTTTTTTTTGCTTCAACCATCCGCTTTCATTTCAGGGGAACACTGGAATTCTAATGGGCATGTTTTTGGTGTCCTTTGTCATTTTGGTGGCCTTAATAACCGTCCTATCTGGCATTGGGGTTTGTGAACGATGTAGCATCGGAAATGGAGGAGTCTATTCAATGATTTCTACTGTCCTTGGAGGTCAGGTTGGAGGCACCATTGGCCTACTTTATATTTTTGGTCAGGTAAGAATGCTTATTTTTTGAATATATATTTTAATATAATTTTCCCCATTCATTTTTCCCTTTATGTTCAGGGCAAAAATATCCAAACTGCAAATTCTGTTGTGTTAATTGAGAAGATATATATTCCAAAAAAGGAGTACTGGTTTGAAAACTCTGGGCTGTGATGAAAGATAATGTTGCTTCAGTATGTACTGTATATGCCTTTCTAAAGTACAGTTTTCCTTTATTGCCTGGATGTGGTATGAATCAAATGCTACATTCTCTTTGAAAATTCTGTGGTAGCCTGGAAAGTAAAGTGGGGATTTGTGTATGATTCTGTGCATGGGATGCTTTTTAATTTAAGATTATTCTTACCCCAAGCCTTAGATACCAGGTATTGCTCAAAGAAATGTCCTGCAGGAGCATTTGAAAAATTTAAAAGTATATCACGTTATCTGCTAAATCCCAAAGTCTTCACAAAATGAAATTTAAATGCAAAAATTAAAACTCAAATGAAATGAAGCACATCCAAATTAAGATGTTTAAAAATTAGGCTGTATCTCCAAAACTTAATTTTACAATAATTTTTCACCAAAAAATTCTAATTATTGGTGACCTGCTTGAAAATTGAATCTAGTTAGTCAGCATTTTTATTTAGTACAGTGGTATTTACTACCACTGTACTAAACATTTGCCTTGGCACTTCCAGTTTCTTTCTACTTTTTGATTTTTAAAAAAATATTCAATTAAAATTAAATAGGAAGCTAGCATGTTGCAAAGCGTCACTTCAGTCTAATTTTTATTTACATGAATGCCTCACTTAGATTCTGTGGGAATTTTTTTGAATAAAAACAGTGAGCAACTATAATTCAGTATTCATTGGTAATTTATATCAAAGGCTTAAAGAAATAATCTGCGGCAGTCCCGAAGTCAGGTTCTCAGCAAGATTTTTAAGAAGCTACTGAGTAGGATGATGAATTCCATGTCAGCCCAATTCAGAAGAAGCTCTGAAACTCTACATTGACTCACCTGATAATGCATGTTTCTCAGATGTCAGATAGAGCCACAGGTTCTTTAAGTTACTAAGCAAAGGATGACCCTTCCAGCCTTCCTAAGCCTTCAGTTAAACATTGGCAATGTATGGAGCAACTGCTTTCACCTAGCTTTTAACTTCCTGCAGTGAGCTCTCCAGGGTCCTGGTCATGCTTTGTTGTTCTTAAAAGCTTGTTGATGTCTCTTCCTTTCTCTGTGAATATACTACCAATCATTAGCTAGCTTCATCTGAGTGCTTGGTCAAGCTAGGACATAGTCTCACTACTTTGTCTTTTGGTAAATCTTTAATGTTGTAACTTGCATCACCCATCATGGCAGCCTTTTTGAGGATAAGCAATACCTACATACCATGCTCTTAAAATTCCAAATGTAACCACCCACTCAAAAAATGTGTGATAGGCAGGTTCATAGTAGTCTAATACTTCATCTTTCTTCTACTAAAAAACTAAATGAGCATACATTTTACTCTGGTTTCCTATTCATACCACATATGAGGCCCAGATCTGTTTAGTTTCAGATGCTTAGTCTATTTATTCCAATTTATTCTGAGGCTTTAATTATGTTCAGCACCAACCATGAAATTAGTGCTCATGTCAGAATATTTAAATGCAGAAACAGTTATTATTAGTGCCACACAGAAATCTATCATTGATTCCTATATAACTAACACTTTCAAAGATGACAAAAGCTGTGACTCTTTACTAGAATATTGTTCACGTGTATGCTGCTACATTTATTTAAAAAAATACCATTGGCATAACTTGAGAACTAGATTTATAGAGTTTAAGAATCAATTGAATTTTAGCAAAATATTCTAGTGCCATAATTTAATAAAATTGTAGTGGCCAAGAAGAAGAGCTGTTCTTCAAAGCATCCTAATATTTTATGCATAGATGTAATTAACGTATTCTGAAAACCATTCTACTATATTAATTGGTACTTCCTGGTTTTGAAAGTGAATCAACTTGACTCATTAACATCTATCAAACATTACTACACCTAGGAAGATATCAAAGAATGGTTTTTTATATTTTTGTTTGTTTAAAATAGGCTTCTGATTAGCCTTGGGTAGTTCATTTCCACTAGATGCCTTTGTTTACAACATACAATATTGTGAGTGATATTCAGGGAGAGAAATATTTTCCCTCAGTGAGTTTCAGTGTTTGGCCAGAGTCAACTTTCAGACCATGTATATATCATGTTCTCCAGGAGCACCACTTTTTTTTTTTTTTTTTAAATCTATATACCAAATGATTATTATTACAAACTACCAGTACTTACTGTTTGCTTGTGCCAAAGGACTTCCTCTTCTTCCTGCTGTACAAACAATCTTTTGGATACCCTCCAGTGATGGGATGAGGGTAAGAAATCCATTTGACCATGAGTTGTGCAGTTGATAGAGGGACATATTTGGGTCAGAATCTGGAATCAACCTTTGTAGTTGTTATTAATGCCCAAGGCACAAGTCTCTTTCCTAAAGAAAACAAAAACAAAAAATCAGATTCACTTGACCTGTCTTGTTAACACTACTCTAATTTATTATTCTTTCTCAGTGTTGTTATTAATAGAGCCAACAGCAGGCCTTTAACCTTCCTGAGAATCTTGTATCCTCCTCTGAATTTTCTCCTCCTAATGAAGTCTGAGTGGCAGAGCTTCCAAATAATGATTTTCTAGGCAAAAAATAAATAACATGTTCATTGTCCTCCAGTTCAAACTGCTTAGCCTCTTCACGGGTGAAAATATTCTTCAGTGTGTTGCAGGTGCTATGTACATTACTGGATTTGCTGAATCCATCTCTGACCTCCTGAACTTCACTAACATTTGGGCAATCAGAGGCATCTCCCTTGTTGTTCTGCTGGCCTTGCTTGGAATTAACCTGGCTGGGGTGAAATGGATAATACGACTCCAGCTACTACTTCTCTTTCTACTGGCTGTTTCCACACTGGATTTTGTCATTGGATCTTTCACGCACCTCAGTCCAGGTAACATTTTTCTGATTCTTCCAAATCAGAAAGTTAACCATCTTAATGGATGAACGAGATAGGTTTTTAACTATTTATCTGTTGATTAAATATGCTAATATGAAACGGCATTTCTAAAGCCACAGTCTTTCTTCCTTTATGTTTCCATGAGGCATATTTTTTTATGGTCTGTCTCTCTCTCTCACACACACAGAGAAATACCTTTATGCTCTTTATGCACAGAGAGGGAGAGAAAACACTTTTATGGTCTCTCTCACACCCAGAAAGGAATACCTTTAACAACAGAAGTTCTTCCTAGGTATTCGATACATGTTTACCATCTTCAGTTTTTTTCCTAATAACCGATTGAAATTGATTTTTAAAATGTGCTGGGCAATTAACAAGTGCAATATCTGATGTATTACTACAAGGCTTTTCAAGTGGTGGTACTTCAGCACCTGGCTGAAATGGTGGCAGCGCCACACAGGCCCAGGGTTGAGTCAGCTGGAGCTGCGGTGTTGCTGGGGCTCTGCTGAGGGCCCAGGATCAGCGCTTAGGGCTCCAGCTGATCGGCGCTTCCGGCAGCCTCTATTATCACCAGGAGCAGCAGATAGGCCATGGGATGAGAGAGTCAGCTAGAGCTGCAGAGGCCCCAGGATCGGGGTGCGCAGCTCCAGCTGATCAGCGCTGTGTGCAATGGGCGGTAGCGAGGGATGCTGGAGCTCTCCCTAAGCCCCAGAGGGTGGCAGACCCAGAAGAGAAAAAGAAAGGGAGGGGAGAGAGAGAGGAGAAGATATAAAAGGAGAAGGTTTTGGCCGGAGAGGGAGAGAAAAAGAAATGATGGGGGAAAAAAGAAGGGGATGGAGAAAGAGGGAGAAGAGGAGAGGCTTCTGTGAGAGGAGCAGTGAGAAGAAAGGGAGGAGAAGAGAGGTTTCTGTGAGAGAAGCAGTGAGGAGAAAGAAGAGAGGCTTCTGTGAGAGAAGCAGTGAGAAGAAAGAGAATAGAAGAGGAGAGGCTTCTGTGAGAGAAGCAGAGGGATCAATGAAGGAATAGGCTGTGAAAGAGAGAGAGGAGAGGGAGAGAGGAAGAAGGGCTGACCAGCCACTTGATCATCAAGATAGTGGTGCATGTTAATAAATATGGATAAATTTGTCATACGTTCATCGGTGCAAAGGGAAAGTGATTCAGCAAAGGAACTACCACCAAAGAAATTAAAACCAGTACTCAACTTTTTTGGGGGGGTCACCTCGTTAAGCACTGGTGGTACTCAAATATTGTCATATCCTAAAAGTGGTACAATCTGAAAATGTTGAAAAGCACTGTATTACTATACAGAAAGAAACCGAAATGAATTCACTTGAATTGAAGTGGCTATGCAATTAAGTAATGGAAGAAAATAATCAATTGAAGACTACCCCCTCATAGCAATTTCGGATAAAGTTATTATGACTAAATATTCACAATAAACTATTATGACTTTCATTGGGTGCTTGAGAATTTTAGAGCTAAAGAAAAATATAGAACAGAATGACTCAGAAGGTTATTTAAACAGATACACCCATCTAACAGCTGTTTTCGCCTAATGAAAATCAGGGCTGAATCTATCCAGACATTTCATCTGATCAACATATTAACTGCTTCACTTATAGAATACCTGCTGCATGTTACAACCTGTCTTATTGGCTCTATTTATCCCCCCAAAGTCACTTCCCTACTAGTTTTTCCCCCCATAGCCTTTCCAAGCATTGTTAAGCACCATATGTTTCAGAATCATAGTGTTATAAGTTCTACTTATGAAAAACTAAAAGAAACTGCACAGTACTTTTATTGGCTGGGAATATGAGGCTGAGGAGTTTCCTATAAGAAAAATAAAGTAGACAGGATAAATGTGATTGTTTGATAAGATCAAGTGCACAAGTATTGGGGAGGGATATGTGGCTTCTAAAAGATCACAGAATAGTAATTGATTGCAAACTGAATGTGAGGTAGCAATATATGACTGTAAAGAATGGAAATATAATTTGGAACTGCATCAATTGAAGTATAGATACGGTAATTCTTGCTTAACGATGGTAATTGGGCCAACACATGTTTAGAGTTTAAAAGAGACAATACAGGTAATCCCCCAGATACAAGTGTTTATTTAGCGAGATTTCACAAAAACGAGGTTATTCAGAAAGGGTACTTACATTAGAAATTCAAAATTGCGATCAAAAACAGGGCCTCTGTAGCCATGTGACTTGGATTTAGTCTTGGCTGCTGCAGCCGCCATTTTAACTCTGTGGCTTGCCTGGACCTGTTCGGGCCTATGAGAAGCCGGAAGTGGGTTGGTGGGTTTTTGGTTTTTTTTTGTGCCTTGTCACATGGCCAAACAAGATCCGGTAATTTTCGCACCTGGCACCGACCATTTGTTTTTGTTTTCCTGGAGCTGTGTGGAAGATCTGCTGCTTGCTGGGCTTGAGGACTTCAGTACTGTAGAGAGAATTACTTCTCTAAGTATTTTAAAATATTCTATATTCTTATAGCAGAGATCCCCAACCTTTTGGGGATCAGGGACTGGTTCCGTGGAGAGAGGTTTTTCCGTGGACCACAGGTGCGTGGTTTTGTGTGTTGCCTGCATCCTACGGATGGGGCTTTGCTTGTTTGTGCGGACTAGTTGCTGGCATGCTGCGGCCCAGTACCGGTCCACAGACCAGGGGTTGGGGACCCCTGCTCTATAGTACTGTACTGTATTGTGTTTGTAAGTACAGTACTTTGCAAAATTGTTTGTTTGCATTTGCCTGAAACTTATAGCATGTGGCTGCTGCTGTTACTCTCCCTAGCACAGACCCACTAGAGATTCTGCTGACACTTACTGGAAGGAAATCCCCACCCCCACCCCATTTTGGATTTTGCTTGGAGAGGCTTGTGCTGATCAGGGGCAGTGTTTTTTTTAAAAAAAAAGTTTTAAATTTAAATTGCCTCCAGAAGTTGTAGATGTTCCCTCACTGGAGGTTTTTAAGAAGAGACTGGATAGGCTTTTATCAGAAATACAGTACAGTACTGTACACTCTTGTGAGAGCAGTGGGTTAGACTAGATGACCTCAAGGTCCCTTCCATCTCAGTAACTGTTGCAAGCCGACAGTTCTGTAAACTCCACCCCCATCTCTCTCTGCATGCCTGCCTGGAGATGCTTAAAGCTAAAGTTACTTACTTAAGTGGCAACTGCAATTTGGAGAGTTCTCCACCCTCTCTCTGAAGAAGTTTGAGCTGCCTAGCAACAAATGGTTTAAAAAAAAAGAAAAAGCCTGCTGCCTGCTTGGGAGGCAATTTACAATTCTGTAGTTTCTGAAACCTGAAACAGCTGATTTGCAGCTCGAAACAGCCTGCAGCAACGGCAGAAAAATTCAGGCAACCATTAGAGGAAATAATGTCAAATCTTTGTTCATTTAATGACCTATTTGATTCAATTAATGAGTTTGATTTTAAAATGTTGTAATATTGAGTCTGATTCATTTGACGATTAGGAGCCTAATGGGTAGGCTCTAGTAGGCTCGTACCTTGGGGACTACGTGTAAAAAAAAACTAAAAAGGAAACAAAATGATTCGAACACATGCTCTCCAGTAGCCTACACCCAGATAAGCAGGGATTAACACCAGACAAATCAAACAGAAAACAATAATCAAAGAACTACTTTCACCAAGAAAACCATACTTCCAATAACACTGCTAGGACAAGCTACAATGTATAGACAGCAAGCAAATCTCACATTCATTAGCACTGATGAGCACTATGTTAACCTAGTCAGATAGTGAAACATCTGCAAGCAAACAACCAAGTTCACAGAGCACCAAGGACTCTAAAGTTCACCCCTGAGTACAAATATTATCTTCTATTGGAACATTAAATATATCACTGTTGATGCAATATACCAGATCTAGACTGTTTCTAGGCTCAGCTTGGGCTGTACTGGGAGCTAGCATTTGACTTAGTAGTTCCAAAAATGGATATTCCTTATTCTTCAAAAATCAGAGTATTGTTTTTCAGCCTTTACTTAAGCTCCTGCAAATGAGATTATCATCCATGGCAGTGTTTATCAACCTGAAAATTTGTTGTCCAGATTCAAAGAACTTCCTCCTAGGTAAATCCCCAACAATAGGGTTTAATCCTCAGTAAATGTATAGGCTATGAAAGATAGTAATTGCTTTTAGGATCATATTCACTGCTACAAATCTGTTTATACACAATTTATTGTGTATTCTAATCATAACATTTATGCACTTGGAATTGATTTCTTTTATCATGGTCAAGCAAAATGAAGAGGGAGCATTAATATATTTAAAAGGACATATTCTGTAAAACAGGAGTGTCAAACTGGTGGCCTGCAGGCCAGATGCGTCTTGCGCACCCCGGCTCCGCAAAGGCAAAAACCATCATGCTACGTCAAAATATGTCACGTGACACGATCAAGTTTGACACCCCTTCTGTAAAACATATTATACATACCGTGTTTCCCAGAAAATAAGACTCAACTAGAAAATAAGCCCTAGCATGATTTTTCAGGACAATCGTAATATAAGCCCCACCCAAAAAATAAGCCCCAGTTAAGATCATCAGCCAGATGGACGCATTTAATACCGTATTTTCCCCAAAATAAGACCTAACTGGAAAATAAGCCCTAATGCGTTTTTTGGAGCAAAAATTAATATAAGGCCCAATCTTATTTTTTGGGAAATACGGTACAGTTTTTAGTTATTAAATTAAAACATGTAAAAGTAAATGTAGTTACACAACTAAACAGAAGGTGTCACTTTATCTTCAGATTCCTTTACCTCCGCCTTTTAAGATTGAGATTTTCTTTCTTTGCTTTCATTTGTATTATCCACACTGATGTAAAAATCTAAAAGCTAGGACAGGAAGATGAGTCACCTGCAAATATTCTAATCTCTTTTATCTGGAGAGAATTTTTAACAATGCCTATGTTGTGATTCAACTCAGGAGAAAATCTCAATGGCATTGTAGCCTGGAACGCATACTTTAG